AAAAACATCCTAGGAGGAAGGAACATTTTGGAGGCTTTAATTTGCAATTCCAACACTGAGCAGGTGGATGAAATCCCTGTCTTCCATTTTGATAATTCTGTGCTTCTATCGTGAGTAAACATTTGGGAAGTTGTCAATCTATTATATCTCAGGGTTATCTGGGTAAGGAAGACAGCCACAGTTTTTCCCTGAACAAAAGAAAACTTTCTTCTATAAATAGAGGATGGTGTTCTTAGACCATTATGTGTGCAATCTGGAATTAAAATAGCTTACAAGAAGATAGAAAAATATAGCAACACCCTAAAAACAGTCCACAACAATCATTAAGAAGTCAACAGCATTCAAATGACGGAGGAAGAGCAGAGATTTGAGTTAAAATCTACTGTGTTTCCCGAAAATAAGACCCTGTCCTTGTCTTATATTTTTTTGAACCCCAAAATAAGTGCTTGGCCTTATTTTCGGGGAGATCTTATTATTTTGGGACACGTGGAGCAAGACAGGGGCTCTTCTTGCCGTCTTACCTGATTTCCAGCTCCGTCTCCCAACCCTAACCAGAGGAAATGGCAGGGACCTGCACATCTGGTTAAATAATTTGGGGGGCGGGGCTTATTTTAGCGCATGCGCTCAAAAGCCCGATCGGGCTTATTATCAGGGGATGTCTTATTTTCGGGAAAACACGGTAGCTGGAATAAAATAGTGTCCATCCTTATCCATCATCCTACTGAAAGTTCACTGGTCATTGTCCAAATTACCCAGAAGGCACTTCTTTCCAATTTCATTCAAGACCGGAGGATGGATGATGGATCATGTAGTAGTGGATAACCTGGGCAGAGCATGCTGGGGGGAGGCTCCACAACGTTGGAGAAAACAGACATGAGTCACCCAAATGTCTCTGAACTTTGATTCCAAAAGCAGAGGGAGACCTATTGTCCCAAAGGTGCTTTCCAAAAAAGGAACTAGGCTATCTTGGTGTGTTTTTTTTTTTCCTTGAATACATTTTACTTCTCATTTAAGAAGCTTCTTCAGTTCTGACTAAACGGTGGGGAATAAGAATGATTTATATTCTCTGCAATCATCTGGTATTAGCACTCTTGGGGCCACTTGGGAGGTTTATCGGTGCCCTCAGGGTCCTGAAGAGGAAACTCAAATACTTTGGCCACCTAATGAGAAGGAAGGACTCCCTGGAGAAGAGCCTAATGCTGGGAACGATGGAGGGCAAAAGAAGAAGAAGAGGACGGCAGAGAACAAGGTGGCTGGATGGAGTCACTGAAGCAGTCGGCCTGAGCTTAAATGGACTCTGGGGGATGGTAGAGGACAGGAAGGCCTGGAGGAATGTTGCCCATGGGGTCGCTATGGGTCAGACACGACTTCGCAACTAACAACAAGATATACAAGATACTAAATCAAGCTTGGATGACGACACAGCACCAAAGCTTAGGGCATCGCTTTAAAAATTCTACCTCTTATGTTTCCCTCCCCCTAAGAAGCCAGACCATAGATGGCTGCTAAACCTCTAGATTGAAAGGACATCTTTCTTCATCCTAACATCAGAATCCCATCCAACCGAATCTTTTTTAATGTGGCCACTTTTTCCAAAGCTGAAATGCAAGTCAACATCCTACTATCCTTGCATTCTTCTAGAACAGTGATGGCGAACCTTTTTGGCACCGAGTGCGCTCGTCTGGGCCGCAACCCGGAAGAGGAGCTGCCCAGGGCGCCTGCGTGCACCTGAAAAATGAACTTCCGGTTTCAGCTACTCAACTTCCGGTTTCAGCCAGCTACGCGTCCGGGTTTATGGCGTGCATGCAACCAGCAACGATCAGCTGGCCAGCACGCATGCTCATGCAGGAAAACGGAAGACCAGCTCATCCAGTTTCCAGCAATGCTGCATGCAAAAAGGCCAGCTGATTGTTGCGCGCGCATGTGTGCCAGAAACCCAGAAGAGGAACAGGCGTGTCCACTTTGGGCACCCGTGCCATAGGTTCACCATGACAGTTCTAGTACTAATCGCTTCAAACCATACAGATCTGTTTATCTCCTTTTCTTTGGGGGATGCCTATGTCCATTCGGACTACTGTATCATCCAGAGGTGTCTGTAGAGCACAGTCCAAGAAATTCAAGATGGTGGCCACCATCACGCAGTTCAAAGCTCTTGCTATTTTTATGCACGTTGCCTGAACATGGCTTGCTTTTAACTCTACCTTGCAGATACCCAGGATATATAAGGAACAACGTAATCTGAGCATTTGGATGTGTGTCGATACCTTTCCTGGATTTCTAAGGTCATTCCCATGCCCACTCCTTTCTAGCACTGATAACATTACCTAGTTGGGTAATGAAAGGTCTGCAAGAAAATAGCCAAGCTCAGAGAGCACCAAGGACCCTACAGTCCTCCTCCTCCTCCTCCTCCTCCTCCTCCTCCTTTCTCCAACCCCCACTCCCTTTTAACACGGTTGATGTTACCTCGTCGGGTAATGAAATGTCTGCGAGAAAACAGACAAATTCAGACAGCACCAGGGACCTCACAGCCTTTCTTCTCCTCCACTCCGCACCCTTCTAGCACTGATGATGTTACCTAGCAAGGTAATGAAAAGTCTGCATAAAACAGCCAAGCTCCGAGAGAACCAAGGACTCCATGGTCTTTCAGTTAAGTTTTTATCCCCTGGATGAAAACATCAAATGCCACAGATTTATCACGGACACAGGAAAAGAATGGATGTGCCTCACTGCTCAAGAAAAGAAGTGAAACCCATTTAAGGGCTTCATGAGCTCCCTGGAGAACTCGCTACAACTAAACCACACAACAATGGATGAATGGGAGAAACACACCTCCCACCGTTGGGAAGCTTACCGTAAATCTAGGAAGCAAACTAAAACACCGAGCTTGCAAAATCCAAAATGAGCCCAAAATGAATTTAAACATAAATCCAAAAGGTGAACCTGAAATATATCTTCACTCGAATTTCCTGAAATCTGTTTTAATCACCTTGGAGCATGCCTTGGTGGTTCTATCCGGTTTGGGTAAACTGGTACCGGCGGCTGCGGGAGACTCTGCCCACCCGTCCGGACATCATCACGTCCCGTTTTTGACCCTCTGTGCATGCGCGGATGGCTCTCACATTTGCGAACCGGTAGCGAGGGTAAACGTATACCACCCCTGCATCCTTGGAGTGGTGAAGTTATAATTTTGGTGACGGCGTTGGTTGATATTAACCGGGGAATTTGGAATGCATGTTGGTTGGTTTTTACTAGGTGTAACTACAGACAGTCCTCGACGTATGGCCACGACTGAGCCCCAAACCTTTGTCGCTAAGCGAGACAGTTGTGAGTTTTACCCCCATTTTACGACCTTTCTTTGCCACAGTTGTTAAGCGACTCACTGCCGTTGTTAAGTTAGGAACAGGGTGGGTGAAATAAATCTGGCTTCACCCGTTGATTTTGTTCACCCAAAGGTTGCAAAATGGGACCACATGATCCCGGGAAACTGCAACCGTCATAAATACGAGTCAGTTGCTGAGTGTCTGAATTTTAGCCACGTGAACCCTGGGGATGCTACAATGGTCGTAAGTGTGAAAAAAATGGGCATGCCGCTTTTTTCAGTGCCGTTGTTAACTTTCAACGGGCACTAAAAGAACTGTTGTAAGTTGAGGACTACAGGTAAACATTTTGAGGATGAAATGCGAAATAATTTATGCTGGAGAGTCAGTGCTGGTCAGAATCGATTGGAGAAAGATCTACAATTCCCACTTCTGAAAAATGCAGTTTCGTTTTGCTTGGCATGGAGGAAAGAGTCGTAACGCATTTGGTACCCTGATCTGGTTCTCACAGGAGAACATTTTCCTTCTTTCCAGAACAAACCCCAACTCGTGTCCAAGTGATTGTAACGACAACATTTGCACTAAGGGATCCATTCCCTCCCTGCCCTCCTAGCTCTTCCATGCCACACACACACATACACACACACACCAAATTTGGCAAAAAAGGGCAAAAAACCCAAACAAACCCCAAACTAGGGATGGGATTCTACCGGTTCAGACCGGTTCGGGAGAATCGGTAGCTCCAATGATCAGCTGGGAGCGAACCGCTTCATCCCTACGATCAGCTGGGCCCACCCACCTGCCTGCGCTATTTTCCTACCTTTATCTTCTCAGCTGATTCGCGTGGCAGAACAGATTGCCGCGCCTCAACTGTGTTTCTCCTTAACGCGGAAGTTAAGATTTCTTCAAACTGCGCACGCACGCGCAGCGAAGCGCGCGATCACCGAACCAGTTGTTAAACCAAGAGGATCCCACCACTGCCCCAAACCCACAATATTTTTAACACCGTGATCTTTTGCAGCATTCAGTCTTGAAAGGCAGTCACTCAACTTTATATATATATATATATATATATATAAAGTGTTTTTCTATCGAGGCACCTGGTCTACCCCAGCATGTGGGAGGGAGCATACTGCATCCCTTTCGCCTTTCATCTCCAATCCAGGAGCCCTCAAGCAGTCGCATTCACGACAAACCATTTTATACCAAATTTATATTTCTTATTTCTTTATCACCGAAATATAAATTTGATATATATATATATATAATTATTTAAGGCCATTATGCTAAGTATCGGCATTCTAAATATACTACTTCTATTTTCTGCTTGTTTTCTAAACTGAAATATGAGATTAATTTACACCGAAGGGGAGAGGCAGAACGACGAAGGGAAGACTTTCTAACTTTCGAGGAGAAATATTTAGAATTTTTGTAAACAGTTTTTGTAGAGCACTTTTCTTTCGCAAGTTCTCTTTCGGATCGGCTCTTAAATCTAGCGACCAGAGGTCTTGCTGTCTCCCTGGATATTCCGTTTGTCCATCTGTCAAACAGGCCACCAACGTGTCTCCTGCAGACGTGCGTTCAGCTGACTGGCACACACAATCACACATGCGCACGCATACACACGGACACACATCGCGAAATTTCAACAGATCAAAAGAAATACCTTGCGTCGAGATTATACACGCTGCTGCACCAGTGCAAGACAATTTAACACCGTTTCACAGCCCCCAGGAGCAGGAGAGTTGGAAGGAGTATGGCTGTTTTAAAATCATAAGTTACCTTCTCAAATATTTTGATTTTTTTCCCCTTCAAAAGAAGGACAGGGTTACTGGTAATATTTGAAAATCCACCTAGAATTGTCCAAAGGGGGGGGGGGATAAGAAAGTCCCTTATTTGCGCAACTCTTCATGGGAGCATTATTGTTTTCAGATGTTTCAGCAGATGGTAAGAAGATGGCTAGAAAATCGTCCCAATTCTTGGCCCAAAGGATGGCGACTAAGAGACTGAACATGACTCGGAGGTCTAGTGGCGTCCATCAACCTTCCTTCGGTAGATTAGGTTTCTCATGAGTGTATGCGTATGAATTCCCCACTCATCCTAACAGGAGGAAGATGTATGTCTGGCCCAAAGCATGGATGCGCAAACCTGATTCCCTTCGGCCACCTCTGAAATTTATTAAGAAGACCACCACTGGTAAGGAAATGGTTGAGGATCCAGAAGACTATAAATTAGGTAGCACTTGCTTGCCTCAAACGCAGGTCTTCTGAGATTTGTATAGATCACATATGGGCTGAGAAGAGAAAACCAGAAACTTATTGTATTCCATCACTTCTTCCTCATGAGTTCCATCTCCTCTCCCTCATGAGTTCCATCTCCTCTCCCTCATGAGTTCCATCAACTCTTCCTCATGAGTTCCATCACTTCTTCCTCATGAGTTCCATCAACTCTTCCTCATGAGTTCCATCACTTCTTCCTCATGAGTTCCATCAACTCTTCCTCATGAGTTCCATCCCTCATGAGTTCCATCACTTCTTCCTCATGAGTTCCATAACTTCTTCCTCATGAGTTCCATCTCCTTTTCCTCATGAGTTCCATCAATTCTTCATCTTGGCCAGCCTGGAGACTTGAAGCAGGGGTGGAGGAGAAAACAAAAGGTCTAAGGACAGGATGGGATGGACAAAGACAAATGCACAATGGTTTTTTACCATTGTTTGACATAGCAGACATTGTCGGTGGTAGACGGATCAGTTTGTCCAGGAAGTATCCAACGAGCTGTGCCAAGTGCATCATCCTTTGAAGGATAAGCCTACAGCTGGCCTTGGCCAGCAGAGGAGGACCTCCATGTTGCCTTTTCAAAATGGTTGGGGGTGGGGAATCATAAATCCAGCCATAAAATAATACAGAGCAGACACCCTCAGTTGGTTTCCTCCTTCTGTTCCTGTTGGATCTTCACAGTGTATGTAGCTCCACAGATGGACTTGCAGGGGGTGTCTTCTTTCTCCCATATTCTTACTCTTCTCATTTTGTTTACACTGAAATTTCATAAGTTGTTCCGCCCACCCCAGAGACTTTCTTAACATTTGAGTGTCTAGCTGGACTCACAGGAGCTTGGACACTAGAAGTTGAGCCTATTCGACACTCGACTCTGGAAAGACCCTTTGGCTGTCCATTGATTTTACTGTGAGGGCTCTTCAGCGGGACGTCCTCTCTGTGGCTGGAAGAAAGAGAAGATCCAAAGTTAGTAGGCAGAAAACAAGGGATTTTATACAGGTACCATGTTTCCCTGAAAATAAGACATCCCCTGATAATAAGCCTAATTGGGATTTTCAGTGCATGCACTAAAATAAGCCCCCCCTCCGAAAAAAAGCCTTCCTGAAAATATTTAACCACATGTGCAGCTGGTCCCCACCATTTCCTCTGGTTAGGTTTAGGGAAACAGAGCTGGAAATCAAGTAATACGGCATATGCTCCACAGGCCCCAAAATAATTTATTATTTATTTTATTTTATTTTATTGAATTTGTATACCGCCCTACTCCCGAAGGACTCAGGGCGGTGAACAGCCATAGAATAAAACATATAAATACAAAATTTAAAATAGAACAAAACGAATTAAATAATGTGGCTGAACAAATTTAAAACCCCAATAATTTAAAACCAAATTTAAAATTTCCATTTAAAAAGGGGAAAGACTTAGGTCAGGCCAGCCTGATGAAACAAGAAAGTCTTGAGCACGCGACGGAAGGTGCGCAGATCCGGGATCCTCCGTATCTCCGGGGGGAGCTTATTCCAGATAGTAGGTGCCCCCACAGAGAAGGCTCTCCCCCTGGGGGCCATCAGTCGACATTGTTTGGCCGACGGCACCCAGAGGAGCCCCTCTCTATGGGAGCGTACTGGTCGGTGGGAGGCTATTGGTGGTAGTAGGCAGTCCCATAAATAACCAGGTCTAAGCCATGGAGCACTCTAAAGGTGATAACCAAAACCTTGAAGCGCACTCGGAAGACCACCGGGGAAGTCTAATAAGACCTCCCCGAAAATAAGGCCAAGCGCTTATTTCGAGGTTCAAAAAAAAATAAGACAGGGTCTTATTTTTGGGGAAACACGGTAGTCCTTGACTTGCAACCCCAATTGAAACCGAAATTTCTGCAAAGCAGCTGTTAAATAAATCACACCCAGTTTTGTGAGTCTTTTTTTTTTTGCTATGGGTGTTCTGCAAATCACTTGCGGTTTTTAGTGCAAGTTTATTTTATTTATTTATTTTTTCAACTTGTATACCGCCCTTCTCCCCAGGGGGACTCAGGGCGGTGGACAGCCAAACTTAAAACACATATAGTACAAAAGTTAAGAAAAAAACTAAAATAAATTAAATCATCGGCATTTCCAATTTAAAATCCCGTATCAAAAGTGGTTAGATTCTGCGCAGCAGCACCGGGGATTTGTCAAAACTATGCGATTAATCCATCATAGCGATTTTACACAACTAGCATGTTTCCCTGAAAATAAGAACAGGTCTTATATATATATAAGTATATGTATAAAAGATATAGTAGAAATAAGGGAGGAAAAAATGTATAAGTATGAAATTATTGACTGATGAGAAACTGTTGAAACAGAAAAGGTGTTAAAACTTTTTTTGTTTTTAAAAAATGTTTAATATATATATATATTTTAAAGAAAGAACAGGTCTTATATTAATTTTTGCTCCAAAAGAGGCATTAGGGCTTATTTTCCGGTTAGGTCTTATTTTCAGGGAAATACGGTACTAAATGCATCCGTCTGGCTGACGATCTTAACTGGGGCTTATTTTTGGGGTAGGGCTTATATTACGAGCATCCGGAAAAATCATGCTAGGGCTTATTTTCCAGTTGGATCTTATTTTTTGGGGAAACGCAGTAAAATAGCAAATCCTTTTGCATTACTATTCTTTTGCATTTAAGTATTTAATGACTATGGGCCCCACAGTTTAAGGATTGATATTATGGATATTATAGTATAGTTAGGCCATGCTGGGTTTTGTATGTCATGTTGACAGATTGGGATTCCAAATTGTGAGTTTAACATCTGCAAGTTGACCACCAAGCTCAGAGAGCACCAAGGACTCCACAGCCGCCCTCCTCTTCCTTGTCCACCTCTTCCTCCATTCCACAACCCCCCACCCCCTCCTAGCACTGATGATGTTACCTAGTTTGGTAATGAAATGTCTGAAAGAAAACCACCAAGCTCAGAAAGGACCAAGGACCCCAAATGTTAAAATCTACTCTTCTATTTAAGAAATATATATAATTAAGCAACCCATTTCACATCCTCATTGGATCTAAGTGCTGAAATCTGAAACTTCATACTTACGTCTACTAGCCAGCCTTAAGTTACTTTATGTGCAGTGTGCTTTCTAGTGTGATACTCTTAAATATTGGATGAGTCCAGGGAATTACATCCTATTTCTGAGTAACAAACTAGTTTATAATCTAGTCTTGACTTAACTCTCATTTCCAGGTAATTTAATAAGTGCACATATACATTTTTTGAGACCTTCTCCCATTGGCTGAAAACCATCCAGAAATGTTAAAAAACGATCCACAGGTGGAACTCTGCACCTGGTTTTCTCACACACAACTGCAGCCACGCTAGAACTCTCCATACCTCGCAGGGCCTATGGACTGGGCTTCTGTTAGCTCCATCGTGTTAACGAAGGAGACGGATTTTGGAGCCCCATAGGAGGGAGACCGGGGGATCCCACCGGGAGACGAAGGAACTTGGTGGCTTGGCGATTTGTAGGAGCCGTTGCTCATCCTGCCCTGCAGTGCCTGATGGGCTTGGATGTTGTTATTGGCTAGGTCTGCTTGGAGAGAAGGTGTGGAAGTCCTTGACACTCGGGTCATGGCGCTGGAGAGGGAAGAAACAGACGTCTGTAAAGCCGGATTGCGTGCGCTGAAGCTGCTGTGGGGCATTAAATTGTCTCTGGAGCCGTATCTCAAGACTAAGCTACGGGGATCGTCCGAGAGCAGGCTGACTTGCTGAAGGCTGTAAGAACTCGGGGTGTCATACACCCCCGAATCTGCAAACACGGAGTCTGGGTGAGAGTGCAGGAGCTTCTCCCTCTCCTCCATCTCCTTCCTTTCTTGGATGGACGCCATAATGGTTTTCGACAGGTTGTCGTAGCGGACTGGAGAGGGGTCTCGCGGGTGCGGGGTTGGCCCACCCTGCCTGGGGCTAAAGGTCTGGGGAGACGGGCGCTGGAGTTCCCTTCCCCGCAGATGGCACATTTTGGCAGACAAATATGGCGAGTGGTATCCGACGGAGCCCACCGCGGCGTGCGCAATGCACCGCTTCCCGGCTGGGGAAATGGGGTTGAGCAAACTGTCGTAGGATAAGCTCCCGTTCCTGTTGGAGAGAGAATTGGGGGCGAAGATGCTTTTGTAGGGGGTTGAGGTCGCCCCTTCGGATTTCATGGAATGGAGGGGCAGTTTCTCGGGGCCTCTCCGGACACCCGTTTTCAGACTGAGGGATCTGGAGTTGGCGGCGAAAGAATCGGCTTGGAGCGGAGAAGACTGATAGGTCTTGTGAAGAGAACTCTTCCGATAGTTGGGGAGCTCCATGCTCGGCTCGGATTGATAATCCAGGCTGCTGTCATTGTCGTCGGCCAGGGAGCTCTGCCGGAGTCCTTCCTGGAGGGAGATCTGGGAGAAAAGAAGAAAGGGTCAGATGGAGCTGCTGTCGGCTCTCGTGGGTTAACCAGACAGGAAACATAACCTAATTTATCTTTATTGTAAGGCTACCTTAGCAGAATCTTGCAAGTCTGAAAGTACAAATCTCCCGCTGTCTCTTTTTTAGCCTGATAAGCTAGAGATGATCCTTTCTGAGTTTCTGCCTTTGCCCTTTATGTAGCTGCAGGCTATGTCATCTCTGATTATTCCCTAGGCAACCTATCTTCTCCTGTATTCCCAGATCATTCCCACATACCACAACATCAGTGGAAGCAACTTATTTCTTTCACCCTCTCTCTGTTTGTCTGTCTGTCTGTCTCTGTCTCTCTCTCTTGCCTCTCTGTGTCTGTCTGTCTCTCTCTCTCTTTTGTCTCTCTCTGTGTATCTCTGTTTCTCTCTCTCTCTCTTTTGTCTCTTTCTATGTGTCTGTCTTTCATTCTCTGTCTATTTCTCTCTCTCTGTCTCTCTCTGTGTGTCTCTCTCTATTTATCTCTGTGTGTTCGTGTCTCTGATTGTCTCTCTGTCTCTCTTTCTGTATCTCTTTCTCTCTTTCTCTTTCTCTCTCTGTCTGTGTCTCCCTCTCTCTGTTTGTCTCTCTGCCTCTCTTTTTCTTTCTGTATCTCTCTCTCTCTCTCTCTCATCCAAGGAACAAATCCCTGGAAAAAGATTAATGAGCCATTACAGAGCTTTCTTTAAATGGCCTTTTCATTGGTACTGTGGCCTCATTGTTGAAAATGACAAAGGACAATGGTTAAAGGCTTGCTTCTGGAGAGGAAAAGGAGTAATAACCATAACATAACATAACATAACATAACATAACATAACATAACATAACATAGCATAGCATAGCATAGCATAGCATAGCATAGCATAGCATAGCATAGCATAGCATAGCATAGCATAGCATAGCATAGCATAGCATAGCATAGCATAGCATAGCATAGCTCAGCGCAAGCACAAGCACAAGCACAAGCACAAGCCAAGCCAAGCCAAGCCAAGCCAAGCCAACACAACACAACACAACACAAAAACACACAGCACAACATCTTTTTCAGACACATTAAGTAAAGACCTGGCTGAGAAACACTGTTCAATCTGCTATCATTCCACCGTAATTTTTATTTTGACCCAAGGAAAAGGCAATTACATAGACAGAACATATTTCAAGATAGTTTGAAGTTGGACACTTTGTTTCATCGGGTCAAACCTGAGATTCAGCCTGCAACCATGCCATCTTACCTGCTCAGATGTTCCATGATAGTGGACTTTAGAGTTGTTGCTGAAAGCAGGGCGATATTTGTACATGGCAGGTGTGGGAGGACTCATCAGTTTGGGAGAAAGGCTGCTCTCTGGAAAAAAAAGAAGAAGAAAAAGAAAACAAGCCATGGTTTATGGCATGCCCAAACCATGATTGAGTTTCACATCACCTATAATATAAATGGCTTGCTTAAGGCTTAGCACACTGTGTAAATCCAGCTACTGAATTTTTTAAATCTTAGTTTACGGCTTAGGGCAGGGGTCTGCAACCTTAAACACTCAAAAGAGCCATTTGGACTCATTTCCCACAGAAAAGAAAACACCGGGAGCCACAAAACCCTTCCATGCCTAACTATTTCTTGAGCGGCCACAAAACTAGCATATGTAGTTGAATTAAACGTTCTGTTTTTCTTCTGAAACTTTTCTTTTCTTGGATTTATCCATGATTGGCCTACCAGGGGTTGAAAAGCTCAATAAATTGCGTGCCGGTGGGTGTCGCACACTGGCGGTTGTGACGCATATTTTGAGTGACAGGGAGCCACAGCAGAGGGGTGAAAGAGCCACATGCGGCTCCAGAGGCACGAGTTACTGACTCCTGGCTTAGGGGGTTATATGGACCCAGTCAATGATGGCTTAGTCAGTAAACCGTAGTTGAACAAACTATGGCTTAGTTTCTATGAATCCAAGAGTTTCTGCATTACGGGTTAAACCAGTCATGAGATTTTTCACCAGAAAGAAGGTTTTAAAAGAGAGAAATTCCATACGTTCAGTTAAAAAAAAAAAAAGAAAAGAAAAGATCAAATATTGTACCTTCGGTGCTTCCCAGTTCGCTGTATTTACTGGAATCCCCTTTGGGTGGAAGTGGAGGCTGTATATCCATGGTATTTTCGTCCAGCGCTTCAAGGCTAATTTTAGACTGAAAACAATCGCAAAACCTAGTTAAGCGTTGCCGAGCGGTCTATTCTAACCTTAAATCATGCATCTCCCCCCCCCCGAAAGATGTCTCCACACCAGTGGTGAAATGTAAAATTTGTTACGGTTCTGTGGACGTGGTTTGTAATGTGACTGAGTGGGCATGGCCAACTTTTTTTTTTACTTTTAAAAGCATTTTTTCTACAACCTCTTCAGCTGAAGAGGTTGTAAAAAAAAATGCTTTTAAAAGCCTCTGACGATCCCAGCTAAGTTGCCTGATCATCAGAGGCTTTTTTTTTCTTTTAAAAACATTTTTTCTACAACCTCTTCGGCCGAAGAGGTTGTAAAAAAAAATGCTTTTAAAAGCCTCCGACGATTCCAGCAGGAACCTAGAGGTTGTAGAAAAAATGCTTTTAAAAGCCTCTGACGATCCCAACTGAGCCGCGTGATCATCAGAGGCTTTTTAAAAAACTTTTAAAAGCATTTTTTCGGCCGAAGAGGCTGTAGAAACAATGCTTTTAAAAAATTTTTTAAAAAAACCTCTGATGATTGCACGGCTCAGCTGGGCATGGGGTGGGGTGGCAGGGATTTTTGCTACCGGTTCTCCGAACCAACCACCACCATTGCTACCGGTCGGCGATCCGGTCCGAACCGGGAGCATTTCACCCCTGCTCTACACACTGTGCAGGATAACAGCGGTCTTCACACATTGTGTTAAACTGCAGCATTGTTGGTTCAGTTTGAGCTTAGCCAGCCTATGAAAACAGCCACTGTGTTTTCATTCTGGTTTATGGCCTAATATATTGCCTGAACCCATCCAGGTGAGACTTGTTCAACAAACCATGGTTAAGCAAATCACCGCTTAGTGAAGTCTAAGAAGCTTGGCTAAGAGCCCGTTTGGTCTAGTGGGTAAGGCATCAGGCGAGAAAGCAGAGCATGAGTTCTAATCCTGCCTTAGGCATGAAAGATGGCTGGGTGACTTTGGGCCAATCACCAGGAGACTGGGAATTCTAGTCTCGCTTTAAGCATGAAAGCCAACTGGCTGACTTTGTGCCAATCACCGGGAGACTGGGAGTTCTAGTCCCGCCTTAGGCATGAAAGCCAACTGGGTGACTTTGCGCCAATCACTGGGAGATTGGGAGTTCTAGTCCCGCCTTAGGCATGAAAGCCAACTGGGTGACTTTAGGCCAATCACCGGGAGACTGGGTGTTCTAGTCCCGCCTTAGGGATGAAAGTCAGCTGGGTGACTTGGACCAATCACTGGGAGACTGGGAGTTCTAGTCCCGCCTTAGGCATGAAAGCTGGTTAGGTGACCTTGGCCCAATCCCTCTCTCTCAACCCGCCTGACCTCACAGGATTATTGTTGTGGGGAACATAGGAGGAGGAAGGAGTGTTATATATGTTGGTCACCTTGAGTTATTTATAAAAATAAGGCAGGCAGGATAAATGTAAAGAAATACACCAATCCGGCACCTAGAATTTTTGCTTTGCAGGGATTGAAACCTGAAATAAATGAATCAACTTTGATTTCAGCTTGGATGGACCAGATTCACCTATCATGCTAGATCAGTGATGGCTAACCTTTTTGCCATCGCGTGCCAAAAGCGGGGGGAGCGCAGGGGTGTCGCACGTGCATGTGCCCACACCCAGAATTCGGTGCACCCCGCCCCACCGTGCATGTGTGTGCGACCCCCCGCGCTCTCCCTGCTATTAGCACGCGATGGCACAGTGGGACCGGAAGGCCCGTTTTTCACCTCCCCAGGCTCCAGAGCCTTTCTAGGAGACTGGGGAGGGCAAAAACAGCCTTCCCCAACTCCCCTGAAGGCCCTCCGGAGGCCGGAAACAGCCCATTTCCCGACTTCCGGTGGGCCCAGAAGGCCCAAAAATCAGCTGGCCTGCATGTGCATGTGCGCTGGAGCTGAGCTAGGGCAATGCTCGCGTGCCCACAGATATGGCTCCGCGTGCCACCTGTGGCACGCGTGCCATAGGTTTGCCATCACGGTGCTAGATCATAACTTAGCTTGTCTGGCTTTGGCTTAACATGTTGTACAAACCCAGCTAGTACAAATTAATTAACCCCTAGGGTTTAAAAAGCATGTTTTATGAATTCAGCCCAACGTAGCTAAGTCTTATGAAACTCTTTCACCAGGAAAACATGGAAACAGATCTCTATATGGATGGATCCCAGGTAAAAGATAGCTCATAAGGAATGCTTCACCTTGCTCTGGTTGAGGTTGGCTTGAACCCCGTTGTCACTTATTTTGACGGTGATCTGTCGCTCCTTTAGATCCGGCCTCAGGAAAGGGGGCTTCACGCTTACCATCTCTTTCTTCTTGGGATCCACAATGTACCTGCAAGATCACGGGATCTTGAAACGTCCGCTTTTCATTAAAAGATACCGCCTCATGAGTGCTGCAGACCCTCAAGGACTCAGAGTGAAGGTCTGCAGGTGGCTTACACAAAGGAACAACTAATGAGCAACTAAGAGTGGAAGTTAAGAGTGCTTCTAAAGAAATAAAAATATATACCAGCGCAACTAATCATCTACAAGGCGGGGTCATCTGAAGGAACGCCATTTTGGTGTGAAAGGCCACAGACAAAGGCTTCGCGGGTGATGAAGTCATGTGATAGTAGCGTCTGCATTTCCTGCGTTGGATCAGGAAAGCACATCTTTCTCCTTCTGTCCTGGCCACTTATTACCGAGGCACGATTGAGAGCGTTTTAACAAACTGCATCAATGTTTGGTTTGGTTTGGTGGCAGCGATGCCTCAGATAGAAAGTCCATACAGAGAGTGGTAAGGACAGTGGAGAAGATTACAGGAAGCTTGCTTCCTGTTATTCAGGATACTGTTTATAAGCGCTATGTTCTTAGAGCTCAAAGCATGATTAGAGACCCCACACAACCACTTCAGGGTCTGTTTCTGTCGCTCCCATCTGGGAGGAGGTTTCAAAGTATTTCTAGCAGGACTACCAGATTCTGCAACAGCTTTGTTCCCTAGGCCCTCCGTCTGCTAAACTCGCAGGATTCGTTTTTCTCGTCATGTACATGTATACATCCAAACTAGACTGTGTTGTTCCTCTGTGTCATATAATATATGTGGGTATACATACATAACTTTGTATTTATTTATTTATTTTGTCACGTTCATGTAGTGTATATTGGAGGGGATGACCCTTTGAGAGCTGCATGCAACAAAATTTCATTTTAATGTATGCCGATTAGTCTACATTCAAAGTGACAGGAAAGTTATTCTATTCCATTCCATTCCATTCCATTCCATATTTTCTATTCTATTCTATTCTATTCTATTCTATTCTATTCTATTCTATTCTATTCTATTCTATTCCATTCCATTCCATTCCATTCCATATTTTCTATTCTATTCTATTCTATTCTATTCTATTCTATTCTATTCTATTCTATTCTATTCTATTCTATTCTATTCTATTCTATTCTATTCTATTCTATTCTATTCTATTCCATTCCATTCCATTCCATATTTTCTATTCTATTCTATTCTATTCTATTCTATTCTATTCTATTCTATTCTATTCTATTCTATTCCATTCCATTCCATATTTTCTATTCTATTCTATTCTATTCTATTCTATTCTATTCTATTCTATTCTATTCTATTCTATTCTATTCTATTCCATTCCATATTTTCTATTCTATTCTATTCTATTCTATTCTATTCTATTCTATTCCATTCCATATTTTCTATTCTATTCTATTCTATTCTATTCTATTCTATTCTATTCTATTCTATTCCATTCCATTCCATTCCATTCCATTCCATATTTTCTATTCTATTCTATTCTATTCTATTCTATTCTATTCTATTCTATTCTATTCTATTCCATTCCATTCCATATTTTCTATTCTATTCTATTCTATTCTATTCTATTCTATTCTATTCTATTCCATTCCATTCCATTCCATTCCATATTTTCTATTCTATTCTATTCTATTCTATTCTACATTCTATTCTATTCTATTCCATTCCATATTTTTTATATTCTATTCTATTCTATTCTATTCTATTCTATTCTATTCTATTCTATTCTATTCTATTCTATTCTATTCTATTCTATTCCATTCCATTCCATTCCATTCCATATTTTCTATTCTATTCTATTCTATTCTATTCTATTCTATTCTATTCTATTCTATTCCATTCCATTCCATTCCATTCCATTCCATATTTTCTATTCTATTCTATTCTATTCTATTCTATTCTATTCTATTCTATTCTATTCTATTCTATTCTATTCTATTCTATTCTATTCCATTCCATTCCATTCCATATTTTCTATTCTATTCTATTCTATTCTATTCTATTCTATTCTATTCTATTCTATTCTATTCTATTCTATTCCATTCCATTCCATTCCATATTTTCTGTTCTGTTCTGTTCCGTTCTGTTCCGTTCCATTCCATATTTTCTATTCTATTCTATTCTATTCTATTCTATTCTATTCTATTCTATTCTATTCTATTCTATTCTATTCCATTCCATTCCATTTCGTTCCATATTTTCTGTTCTGTTCTGTTCTGTTCCGTTCCGTTCCATATTTTCTATTCTATTCTATTCTGTTCTGTTCTGTTCTGTTCTGTTCTGTTCTGTTCTGTTCTGTTCTGTTCTGTTCTGTTCTGTTCTATTCTATTCCATTCCATTCCATTCCATTCCATTCCATTCCATTCCATTCCATTCCATTTCGTTCCATATTTTCTGTTCTGTTCTGTTCTGTTCTATTCTATTCTATTTTATTTTATTTTATTTTATTATTATTCTATTCTATTCCATTCCATTCCATTCCGTTTCATATTTTCTATTCTATTCTGTTCTGTTCCGTTCCGTTCCATATTTTCTATTCTATTCTATTCTATTCTATTCTATTCTATTCTATTCTATTCTATTCTATTCTATTCTATTCCATTCCATTCCATTTCGTTCCATATTTTCTGTTCTGTTCTGTTCTGTTCCGTTCCGTTCCATATTTTCTATTCTATTCTATTCTGTTCTGTTCTGTTCTGTTCTGTTCTGTTCTGTTCTGTTCTGTTTCTGTTCTGTTCTGTTCTGTTCTGTTCTGTTCTGTTCCATTCCATTCCATTCCATTCCATTCCATTCCATTCCATTCCATTCCATTTCGTTCCATATTTTCTGTTCTGTTCTGTTCTGTTCTATTCTATTCTATTTTATTTTATTTTATTTTATTATTATTCTATTCTATTCCATTCCATTCCATTCCGTTTCATATTTTCTATTCTATTCTGTTCTGTTCCGTTCCGTTCCATATTTTCTATTCTATTCTATTCTATTCTATTCTATTCTATTCTATTCTATTCTATTCTATTCTATTCTATTCTATTCTATTCTATTCTATTATTATTCTATTCTGTTAACACACCAAGGTGCCCAAGGCAGAGGTTAACATCTGCATCTATCATTTGTACAGATTCAAAATATATAATCCATAGATCAGTGAAGACCAGCTGGTCCAGTCCCCAAGCTGTCATCCCCACAAACCCAGCATTGGTTAATGAACCATCTTCTGTGCTTCTCCTTAGATCTCACCTAGGAGCCAGGGGGCTGCAAAGGACATGTTCCACGTTCCCACAGCATCCTTGAGTAAAAGGATTGACTCCTCCACGGAACTTACCCGTCACCTGGAATTAAAAACAAGGAAGGCAGTTTGAAAAAGGAAAGGAACCTACCATTGGGAAGTGGAGAAAGGCCTTGGGAGGTGGAGGGAGGAGATGCTGCCTATGGAACGGTCAGATAAGAGGCAGCATAGCCCACAGCTGGGTAGTGGAGGGGGCAAGAGATTCAGAAGGGACCCTCCCTAGTTTCTTGGGCTGTAAAAGAGAGCGGGGGGGGGAGGATTGTACAGGTAGTTCTGGACTTATTTTTATTTTACTTTATTATTTTATTTTATTAAATTTCTATACCGCCCTTCTCCCGAAGGACTCAGGGCGGTGAACAGCCAGAGGATAAAACACAGAGATACAAAATTTAAAATAGATGAAAACAAATTAAATAATTTAGGCTGGATTTTAAAATACCCCATAATTAAACAGATTAAAATTTGCGTTTAAAATTTAAATTTAAAAAAGGAGAAGATTTAAATTTAAAAAAGGAGAAGATTTAGGCCAGGCCAGCTTGATGAAATAAAAACGTTTTAAGCGCGCGACCACAATTGAGCCCAAAATTTCTGTGGTTAAGCGAGACAAGTTGTTCAGTGAGTTCTGACCCATATCACGACTTTTCTTGCTACAGTTGTTAAGCGAATGGCTGCATTTGTTAAGTGGGTCACACGGTTGTCAAGCGAATCTGGCTTCCCCGTAGACTTTGCTTGTCAGGAGGTCGCAAAAGGGGATCACGTGACCCACGGGACACACCAACGCTCATCTGAATCTTGATCATGTGACCACGGGGATGCTGCAGTGGTTGCAATGGTAAAAAAAAAAACGGTCCTAGGTCACTTTTTTCGGTGCCGTTGTAACTTCGAACGGTCACTAAACGAACTCTGTTGTACGTCAAGGGCTACCTGTACTTTCAGATTTGCAAGATTCTATCAGTTAGCTTTATAATAAAAGAAAACTAGCTGATCTTATTTTATTTCCTCTCTGGTCCACCTGGAAGTCTGATACCCCGGTTATGCTGCTGCTTCTCCTCCTCCTCCTCCTCCTCCTCCTCCTCCTTTCTTCTTCTTCTCTTCATCCTCCTTCTCCTTCCTCCTTCTCTTCCTCCTCTTCTTCTTCTTCTTCTTCTTTTCTTCTTCTTTCTTCTTCTTCTTCTTCTTTTCTTCTTCTCCTCCTCTTCCTCCTCCTCCTCCTTCTTCTTCTCTTCATCCTCCTTCTCCTTCCTCCTTCTCTTCCTCCTTTTCTTCTTCTTCTTCTTCTTCCTTCTTCTTCTTCTCTTCTTCCTCCTCCTCCTCCTTTCTTCTTCTTCTCTTCATCCTCCTTCTCCTTCCTCCTTCTCTTCCTCCTTTTCTTCTTCTTCTTCTTCTCCCTCCTCCTCCTCCTCCTCCTCCTCCTCCTCCTCCTCCTCCTCCTCCTTCTTCTTCTCCTCTTCCTCCTCCGAAACTCGCTTCACAAATGTTTCAATTAGCCACAGGAATTTTGGGCTCCGTTGTGGTCGTAACTCAAGGACTACCGGTAAGTAACACGCCGACAGCCCATGGTTTTTAATCAATTGTGGTCGTACATTGAGGACTACGTGTATGCTCAACTGCTCTGGCGGGGCAAGGGATAGCAAATGATCCCAGGAGTAAAGTAAGAGGATAGATCGATCTTACCTGCTCGTTGGTTGTGCGTCCTCGGGCCACCAAAACAATGTGGAAAGCAGTCAAGCCAATAACTGGGATGAAGAAGAGCCCAGCGATACACATGACTGTCATTCTGGATGCTGACATTAAGGAAACCCTGCAAATTATTGTGCCGTGGGCACTGGAGTACGGTAGAAAGAATCCCTTTCGTGTTGGCCCAAGTCCCGTCTGGCCGGGTTGAACCCAAAGAGGACCCCAAAAGGAGGATACGTGACGGCGGTGTGGGCCACACCCACTTTTTCAGCGTGATGTAAGACATAGATGAGCCCGAAGGTGAACACGCCGACCATGTGGGCACTTAAAGACAGCAAGAAAAGGAAAAAATAGCGGTAGTTTCGTCTTCCGATACAGTTATTAACCCAAGGGCAGTGATGATCAAAATCCTGGTGAGACAACAGGAGAGAGAGGGTAATAAAGCAGGCGTAACTTGGCGTACACAGGAATAATGGGAAACGTAATAATAACAATCACAACAACTCTATCAACCTGTCAGGCCTCCAAGAACCGGGAAAGACACATAGAGATACTTCTGAGTAAGTCAGAAACGACCCAGCAATAAAACCCAGTTAATAGAAGCCATCCTTCAATCTTGGTTTCACAAGCTGCAGAACTCAAAGACTTGGTTCCACTCCATGGGAAGACGCTGTAAGGCTGTAATTCATGCTAAAGGTTACCTAACTAAGGATGATTAACTGACATGGGGATCATTTTTGTATATCTCGTTTTTTCTACAGTGATCATTTTTGTATTTCTCTTTTTTTCTACGGTGATCATTTTTGTATATCTCGTTTTTTCTACGGTGATCATTTTTGTATATCTCGTTTTTTCTACGGTGATCATTTTTGTATATCTCATTTTTTCTACGGTGATCATTTTTGTATATCTCGTTTTTTCTACGGTGATCATTTTTTGTATATCTCGTTTTTTCTACAGTGATTTTTTTATTATTATTATTTGATTTATATGCCTCCCTTCTCCGGAGACTCAGGGCGGCTTACAATGCGTTAAGCAATAGCCTTCATCCTTTTGCATATTTATACAAAGTCAGCTTATTGCCCCCACAAACTGGGTCCTCAATTTACCTACCTTAGAAAGGATGGAAGGCTGAGTCAACCTTGAGCCTGGCGAGATTCGATCTTACTTTAATTTTTGTATATCTTGTTTTTTTTCTACGGTGATCATTTTTGTATATCTCGTTTTTTCTACGGTGATCATTTTTGTATATCTTGTTTTTTCTACGGTGATCATTTTTGTATATCTCGTTTTTTTCTACGGTGATCATTTTTGTATATCTCGTTTTTTCTACGGTGATCATTTTTGTATATCTCGTTTTTTCTACGGTGATCATTTTTGTATATCTCGTTTTTTTTTCTCCATGTTTCACTTTTCTTCTTTATACTGTAACGGCTATTCTAATAGCAAATCCTTCCTAAAAGTGATTGCATTAAATTCTTGATTAAATTATCTTTCCATCGATAATTAATTTTATGGTACTATTCCCCCCAAAAAAGTGGTGTGTCATTAGCTAGTTTTAGAAAATTACACTTTTCCAAAAGGTTTCCACAATTTTGGCCACTACTGTAGCTTAAATCAGAGCGAATTAAGATTTCCCTCCCCTCTCCTTTTCTCCTTCTTCCTGCCTTTAGTTTCTCAATGCTTCTTACTTCCCAGTGGCGGTTACTATGTAGGTGTGTGTGTGAGAGAGAGCGAGAGAGTGCGCACATTTAAGGGATATATGTGTGACAAAGAGGATTTCCTGATAATAAACCTCCTGCTCCATAAAACACTTCTACTGCCATGACATAAAATCCGATTGTCTTCTCAGCCAATAAATTCTCCTCGCTAACCTTCACCCCAGCCATCTCTCTAATGAAGAGGAGTGCGTTTTACAGTTCTGCTCCGGCTGCCTCCTTTTAATGAATTTCTCTGCCCGGAGTTTGATTCTCATCTCCTGTTTTTAAACTGCACAACCGACGACGTCAGAGAAAATGATTTTAAAAGACTTTGTTCTCCTGCCAAGTTGGTCAAAATCATCTCGCAAAGGGGAAAGAAACTTAGAAGCTGCCAGCCAGATGTAGAAAAAGGAAAGAAGTACCTCCTCGCTTAAGAATAAGATATTGGTTGTGTTTGCAACCAGGATTATATTCGTCTGGCTTTGTTTGGTTGCTTAAATATCCGGCGAGTGTAATTAAGGCATCTAATTTAACACAGAACATAGAATCATAGCGCTGGAAGAGACATCAGTGGCAGGTGGTGAAATGCTACCGGTTTAGACCAATTCGCCTGAACCGGTACTAATAAAGGCTACTGGTTCGGACTACTGGTTCGGGCGAACTGTAGAGAAGAGAAGAGCAACCAAGATGCTTAGGGGATTCAAGGCGAAAACATACGATGAATGGTTACAGGAACTGGGCATGGCTGATCTAGTGAAGAGAAGGACCAGGGGAGACATGAGAGCAGTCTTCCAGTACTTGAGGGGCTGCCACAGAGAGGAGGGGGTCAAACTGTTTTCCACAGCACCCGAAGGCCAGACGTGGAATAATGGATGGAAACTGACCGAGGAGAGATTCAATCTAGAAATAAGGAGGAATTTCCTGGCAGTGAGAACAATCAACCGATGGATCAGAAGTTGCCTTCAGAAGTTGTGGGAGCTTCATCCCTGGAGGCTTTCAAGAAGAGACTGGACGGCCATCTGTCAGAAATGGTGTAGGGTCTCCCGTTTGGGTTGGGTGGTTGGACTAGATGCCCTACAAGGTCCCTTCCAACTCTGTTAATCTGTCTGTAGAGTCTTCCATACCCACCACACTGAAGGCTATTCTTATTCCTCCTTGTTCATTTCTTTATTTGGTTTATATGGCCATCCACCCATCTCACAATGGCATCTCACTTAGACAGCTAACTCCGGGCACACTCGCGACGATATAAAAATGCATGAGAGCAACACCAATCAGCAATAAATGGTTGCTTTGAGTCTCTTTGTCAAGGGCATCAGATGCACAATCACAGTGGTGGCCAAAATTGTGGAAACCTTTTGGGAAAAGTGTATTTTTGAGGTTTGATGGCTAATAACACCACTTTTTTTTTTTTTTTTTGGAGTTTCAAGATAATCCTATTCCACTGCTGGAATGGCCTGGGAATAGCCCAGACCTTCACCCAATGGAAAATCGATGGAGCTGACTAAAGAAACTTGTTAGGCAGAAGTGACCCAGCAATAAAACCCAGTTAATAGAAGCCATCCTTCAATCTTGGTTTCACATTAGAACAGCTGCAGAACTCAAAGACTTGGTTCACTCCATGGGAAGATGTTGTAAGCCTGTCATTTATGCTAAAGGTTACCCAGCTAAGGATTAACTGACATGGTGATCATTTTTGTATATCTCGTTTTTTTCTACGTGTTTCCCTTTTTTTCTTTATACCGTAACTGCTATTCTAATAGCAAATCCTTCCTAAAAGTTATTGCATTATGTTCTTGATTAAATGATCTTTCCATTGATATATAATTTTATGGTCCTACTACTCAAAAAAAAAAAAAAAGTGGTGCTATTAGCTAGTTTTAGAAAATACACTTTTCCCAAAAGGTTCCCACAATTTTGGCCACTACTGTACAAGCCAAATCGCCTTTTAAACAATACTCAAGGGATCGTGTTTAATTATATATTTCCACAGCCAGCGACAACTCTGTCCGTAAAGGAAAGTCACGCGTGTCCTTACCTCAACGCAGTTGTCGCAAACGCTGCAGTGGGAGCAACGAGGAGGGCGGTAGAAGTGGCAGGTGGCACACCATTTCATCCGAACTTGGATGCCTTTGATCTCCACGTTCTTATAGAGTGGCGCTCGGAAGTCGTCATCTTTATCCTCGTCTTCGTCGGCTGCTCAGTGATCGGACGACACAAAAGAAACGGTTCGATGAGACACAACAACGTTCTCAGTTCAGGCAGTCCTCGACTTTACAACAGTCCCAAATTTACGTTGCTAAGTGAGACACGTCTTCGGTGAGTTTTGCCCAGTGGTGAAATCCAATTTTTTTACTACCGGTTCTGTGGGCGTGGCTTGGTGGGTGTGGCAGGGGAAGGATACTGCAAAATCCCCATTCCCTCCCCACTCCTGGGGGAAGGATATTGCAAAATCTCCGTTCCCACCCCATTCTTGGGCCAGCCAGAGGTGGTATTTGCTGGTTCTCCAAACTACTCAAAATTTCCGCTACCGGTTCTCCAGAACCTGTCAGAACCTGCTGAATTTCACCCCTGGTTTTGCCCCATTTTATAACCTTTCTGGGCACAGCTGTGCAGCGAATCGCTGCGACTTGTTCAGTTAGCCACACGGTTGTTAAGTGAATCCCACACACCCACTTTACGATCTGTTTGTGTTGCTCCCTTCCCTTTAAATTTTACGGTCACTTTTTTTCAGTCATGTTCGAACAGTCACTAAATGAATGGTTGTAACCCGAGGACTAGTATAGTTTTTTTTCATCTGCCTCCAATCTCTAACATTCAATATCCTTGGATGTACCCGGATGGTTGCACGGTGGTTCAGTTATGTTCCAGTCAGGGGTGGACTTCAAAAATTTTCGCAAGGGGTTCTCTGCCCAGTTGCTGGGTGGGTGTGGCCATGATGGGCGTGGCCTAGTTGGCCTCCTGCACCACGGCGGGTGGGGGGAGGACATTTTTGCCCTCCCTAGGCTCCGGAGGCTTTCCTTGAGCCTCCGGGAGGACAAAAACGGCCTCCCAGTCTCCGGAGGCCCTCTGGAGGCCGGAAACGGACTTCCCGAAGTTCCGGTGGGCTTGTTTTTTGCCCTCCCCGAGCCTCCGCATGCGCCCTGCACTTAGCTGCATCCAAAACGGGCCGCGTGGGGACTCCTGGGAGAGGCGGGGCAGGGTGGGCTGAGCCAGCCAGAGTAGGATTTGCGGGTTCTCCGAACTGCATAGAATCTTAGCTAGAGGCAGTGGTGGGATTCAGCCGGTTCGTACCACTTCGGGAGAACCAGTTGTTAAATTACTTGAATCCCACCACTGGCTAGAGGTTCTCCTGAACCCCGGCGAACCCCCACCCCCACCCCAGCAGCCCACCCCTAGTTCCAGTTGGTCATTTTTTTAACCTTTCGGTCGTGGGAAGCCAGACACAGAGGTCATATTTCTTCAGCCGGATCACCCTTGGAGTACAATGGGCCCTGTTCCTGTGAAAAGCGTATTCCCAACTTGCCAAGACTGCTTACGTGTACATCTGCCAATCCAAAACGCCAGCAGAGCATGCTCCAAACACCCCCACGCAGCTGACAAGGCTCTGAGTCATTGGCCCCAGCAATTACAAATGGCAAAATAACAACAGAAGCATCCAAGGGGATGAATAGCATATTCAGGACCCGAGCATGTACGAAGCTGCCGTGTACGAACCAGGAGGAGGTTAGGAAATCTAGAGACTTATTAAAGTCACAAAATAAGTTTCGAGGGCCCGGAGACGCAGCGGAGTGTGGAAAGACAACCAGATGGCAGGTTTTCCATGAGAAGTGCCTTCAAACGGCCGGTACGCTCTCAGAGAGGGGCTCCTCCGGGTGCCGTCAGCCAAGCAGTGTCGACTGGCGGCCCCCAGGGGGAGGGCCTTCTCTGTGGGGGCACCCACTATCTGGAACAAGTTCCCCCCGGAGATACGGAGGATCCCAGATCTGCGCACTTCCCGCCGTGCTCTTAAGACCCTCCTATTCCAGCAAGCCGGCCTAGCCTAATTTTCTCCCCTTTCTTTTTAATTTTTTAAACTGAAATTTTAATTTGTTTTAAATTATGGGTTTTTTTTAATTTTCTTGGGCTAAATTATTTAATTTGGTTTTAAATTGTTTCTAACTTTTGTATTTATGTATTTTATTCTGTGCCTGTTCACCGCCCTGAGTCCTTCGGGAGTAGGGTGGTATATAAATTTAATCAAACAAACAAACAAACAAACAAACAAACAAAAAGGACATATCCAGCTAGTCCTCGACTTATGACCACAACATTAAAAAAAGGTTCTGTTGCTAATTTTGTGAATTATGCTCCATTTTACGACCTTTCTTGCCACTTGCCACTGCTGTTAAGCTTAATCACTGCAGTGGTTAAGTTAGTAACTGGGCTGTTAAGGGAATCTGGCTTCCTCGAGGACTTTGCTCGCCAGACGTTCGCAAAAAGGGATCACGTGACCCCAGAACATGGCAACCGTCATGAATATGAGTCAGTTGGAGCAGTGCGGTGGCCTCGAGGTGGCGCTCTCGCTTCACAATCAGGAGGCTGTGAGTTCGATCCTAGGTAGAGGCAGATATTTCTCTCTCTGGGCACAATGAGAATATACTCTGCTGAACAAAAACTCCGCCCTGGTGACAGGAAGGGCATCCGGCCATTAAAACACACTTCAGTTGCCCAGACTCCACCCCGCAAGGGATGATGGCATTGTTAAATGGAGATGATAAATATGAGCCAGTTTGTCAAGTGTCTGAATTTGGATCACGTGACCACGGGGATGCCGCAATGGTCGTCAGTTTGGAAAATGGTCATAAGTCACTTTTTTCAGTGCCGTTGAAACTTCGAAGGGTCACTGAATGAACTGTTGTAAGTCAAGGACTACCTGTAGCTAGCTGGGGATTCTGATGCAGAATCTAATTCTAATGTCCCTTCTATTCACAGGCATCCCTGTTGTGAAGCAGTGCCACAGATAAATGACCTGAAAGGCATCTAATTTATTCCTCTGCCTGCATTTATTATTGTTATTTCTTTCCAGAAGGATTAATCATTTCTCCTCTCCTCAAAATTTAATCAATCCATCAAGACAGACTGCAGGAGGTGGGATGGCAGAACGTGAGGGGCGGAGTGAAAAGAGGGATCTGCCTAGAATCCCTACGTAGCAGGGGTGAAATCTAAAATTTGTTACTACCGGTTCTGTGGGCGTGGCTTGGGGGAGGGGTAATGTGACTGGGTGGGCGTGGCCAATTTTTTTTTTTTTAACTTTTAAAACCATTTTTTCTACAACCTCTTCGGCGAAGAGGTGGTTAAAAAATGCTTTCAAAAGGCTCTGACGATCCCAGCTGAGTTGCCTGATCGGCAGAGGGTTTTTTTAAAAAGCTTCTGCCGATCAGGCAACTCATCTGGGATCATCAGAGGCATTTAAAAGGGAAAAAAAAGGGTTTTTTTACTTTTAAAAGCCTTTGAGGATCCCAGCTGAGCCGCACGATCATCAGAGGCTTTTTTTTTTTTACTTTTAAAAGCATTTTTTGCCCGAAGAGGTTGTAGAAAAAATGCTTTTAAAAGTTTTTTAAAAAAGCCTCTGATGATTGTGCGGCTCAGCTGGGCATGGGGGGGGCAGGGATTTTTGCTACCGGTTCTCCGAACCACCCGCCTCCATCGCTACCGGATCGGGCGATCCGGTCTGAACCAGGAGCATTTCACACCCCTGCTACGTAGCCACAAGCAAATGTAAGTCCAAACATTCTTGAGTACCGTTGACCTTTATTTAAATCTCAGCAACTTAATCGAGAAGATTCCTGTGCGTAGGCCTTTAGCAATAAATCACTTTAATTGAACCTTCTCGTGTAATAAAAGTGCTGTTGATATTCCCTGGGCTCTAATGAAAAATACCCAGAAAAAAAAAATGATCAAAGGGCAAAGAAAGGAGGAGAAAGAATGTCCTGAAGGTGATTTTTTCAAGAGGCAACTGGACTTTCTGGTTTTTCTTTGAAGGGGTTTCGCTTCTCATCCAAGAAGCTTCTTCAGGTTCTTGGAGAAGAAGCGAAACGCCTTCAAAGAAAAAACAAAAAGTCCAGTTGCCTCTTGAAAAAAAAGCACCTTTGGGACAACCAGGACCTGGAGGACTGAGGATCTTCATAGACAGAGGACTGAATGTGGCCCAATGCTCAGTGATTATCCGTCCACCAAAAGGACCTTTTAGGTGACGTAAAGACGAGACATCTTCAAGGGCACCACGGATCTTGAGACATCTAATGGGGAGCCCCTGTGGATCGATGCCAAGATTTCCTTGTCCGTAACCACCAAAAAAAATGGACAAATGGGTGTAGAAGAAGGAGTGTCAGAACCTGGGGGTGGAGTGAAAAGGGGTCTCAGCCTAGAACAGGGGTGTCAAACTTGATTTCATTGGAGGGCTGCATCAGGGTCGTGTTTGACCTTGGGGCACTGCGGTGGGTGTGGCCAGAGTGGGTGTGGCCAGCTCGACGTCACTGATGTCGGGGGCCCGAGTCCTCTGCCAGCAAAAACGGGCTCTCAAGCTCTGTTTTCGGCTGCGATGGCCTCCTGCAACCCTCTGCCAGTGAAAACGGAGCTCAGGAAGGCCGCACGCAGCCCTCCAGAGCTCCGTTTTCACTGGCAGAGGCATCACGGGCCAGTTCTTCGCTGTTTCCAGGTCGGATCTGGCCCCTGGGCCTTGAGTTTGACACCCCTGGCTAGGATCCCCAGGTAGCCACAAACAAAGTTCAACCTTTCTTGAGTGCCGTTGACCCTGATCTAAATCTTAGCAGGTTAGCCGAGAAGATTCCCGTGTGTAGGCTTTTAGCAATGAAATAGTTTCATTGAACCTTCTCGTGCGGATTCTGCTCCTTCGCACGGCTGACGTTTCTACAACGTCATCAACGTTTTCAAGGGATTTCGACAAGAAATGGTAGGATAGGCCTTCCTTCCTTCCCGCCCTTCTGAAATTCCCGATTTACCTCGTGGGAAGACTCCTGGGTCCATAAACGTGGCCATACTGAAGTTTGCAAGCACAAACAGGAATACGAGCCCATTGTAGAGTGGAACAGCTGGGGAGATGGCTCTGGTCAACCACGGGCACCTGAACAAAAACATGGGCAAAGACACGAGAATGTTATTCGTCAAACGCAACAACTGCTAACACTTCCCCACCGAAAGCAGGGGAAGGATGCTGCAAAATCTCCATTCCCACCCCACTCCAAGGGAAGGATACTGCAAAATCCCCATTCCCTCCCCACTCCAGGGGAAGGATACTGCAAAATCTCCATTCCCTCCCCACTCCAGGGGCAGGATACTGCAAAATCTCCATTCCCTCCCCACTCCAGGGGAAGGATACTGCAAAATCCCCATTCCCTCCCCACTCCTGGGGAAGGATACAGCAAAATCTCCATTCCCTCCCCACTCCAGGGGAAGGATACTGCAAAATATCCATTCCCTCCCCACCAGGAGAAGGATACTGCAAAATATCCATTCCCTCCCCACTCCAGAAGGATACTGCAAAATCTCCATTCCCACCCCACTCCAGGGGACAGATACTGCAAAATCCCCATTCCCTCCCCACTCCTGGGGGAAGGATATTGCAAAATCTCCATTCCCACCCCACTCTGGGGCCAGCCAGTGGTGGTATTTGCCGGTTCTCCGAACTACTCAAAATTTCCGCTACCGGTTCTGCAGAACCTGTCGGAACCTGCTGCGTTTCACCTGATTCACAATCAATGATCACCGTGAAGCCATAAAAATCGCATGGATATGGGATTTTTTTTTTTAAAAAAAAAAGAAAAGTGAATAGGATAGACCTTTGCAAGAGGAGTAGTAGACGCAGGGGAAAAAAAAAGAAATAAATCGCCCAAGATCGGATTGTGCAGAATGTCTTAAGTATTTCTTTTCTTTTATTTCTTGATGTTCTTGCCTTGTGCAACTGGCTACACCAGAAAGGTCAGACTTTCTGAAACAATGCTTAAGTGAGGGTTCTTCTACGCCTTATTGGCTTTTGCAGGGTAAAATAAATAGCAAAGTTTAAATAAAGGACACAGTGAATAATTATAAGCATCGGCCAGATGTCCTGGTTCCCCACCCTTTTGCTGTTTCTGGTAATAATTTGTTTTCTGGAAATTACGTTTTTTTTTACAAGCTCTCCAAGCATTGTGAAAACTCAGGATGTGCAAAAAAAACCTTTGTAAATCTCCCTTTGCAAAATGTAATTCCATCAATTAAAGGACTAGAATCCTTCGTTTGATAGAAGTGAGAGCTTTTTATTCTTGGAATCATAGAAGCTGATAGTAACTTAATACCTAGAATGAGCACAAAAAACACCCCCCAAAAAACCCAGTACCCCAATCAAGGAACTACCAAGGAGAAAACCAGCCACACCAGCAAGGCAAGCTATTGTATATAAACAGGGAGCAAATCCCACACTCGCTAGGACTGATGATGGTACCTGGTTGGCTAATGAAATGTCTGCGAGAAATCAGCCAAGCTCAGAGAGCACCAAGGAGCCCACAATCTGTCTCCTCTCCTCTCAGCCCCGCTCTCTTATAGCACTGATGATGTTACCTAGTTGGGTCATGAAACGTCTGCAAGAAAACCACCAAGCTCAGAGAGCACCAAGGACCCACAGTCCTCCTCTCCCTCCTCCTTAAACCCCACACCCTTCTAGCACTGATGATGTTACTTAGTTGGGTCATAAAACGTCTGCAAGAAATAACCAAGCTCAGAGAGCACAAGGACCCCAGTTGTTGTTGTTGTTATCCTCCTCCTCTTCCTCCTCCTCCTCCTCCTCCACAAACCCTCCTCCTTTCTTGCACTGATGATGTTACCTACTTGGGTCATGAAACGTCTGCGAGAAAACCACCCAGCTCAGAGAGCACCAAGGACTCCAGAGTTGAACTCTATTCTCTTCTAGTAAAACTACATTTTCATAAGTTCATCAAAACATCAGGTTTACCATGATTTTTTTTGGGGGGGGGAGGGAGCAGCCTCCAACTACTCCATAGTCACCAACACCTGATTACAAAAGCATAACAGTTCTTCCAAGAGCAGGGGGGGCATATTTTTTCTTTTCCTTTCCCACTGTTGGAAATTTTCCAACCTCTGTGTTGACTAAATGCCAGGCTGTGTTGTCTATTTTGTCTGCAACACTGGCCCCTTTGGCCCAACCTCCCTCCCTCCCTCCCTCATTCTCTCTCTCTCCGTCCCTCCCTTTCTCTCTCTCTGTTATCATGGGCTGGATGGGATTGAACCTATCCATATCTCTCTGGTCATTTCCCCCAACCTATAGAAAGGGGTACAGGGACGATCGAAAGGTTGGCAGCTCAGCGGTTCGAATCCCTAGTGCCGCGTAACGGGGGGAGCTCCCGTGACTTGTCCCAGCTTCTGCCAACCTAGCAGTTCGAAAGCACGTAACAAATGCAAGTAGAAAAATAGGTACCACCTTTGGTGGGAAGGGAACAGCGTTCCGTGCGCCTTCGGCGTTGAGTCATGACCACGGAGACGTCTTCGGACAGCGCTGGCTCTTCGGCTTTGAAGCGGAGATGAGCACCGCCCCCTAGAGTCGGGAACGACTAGCACATATGTGCGAGGGGAACCTTTCCCTTTACCTTTATAGAGAGGGGTATCCAAAACCAGGGCAACTTTTAAGATTTGCGGACTTCAACTCAACTGAAGTCTTCAGCCAGCGTGACATCCTCAAAGATCTTCTGAGTGGTGGCTGAAGGGCCTATATGGAGATGAATCTACGTCATGCCATATAGCGCATCACACACTTCAAGGTGTCGCTTCCATATCCTCAATTTCTTTGGAAATTTCCCCTCTGGGGAAACGTCTTGCCATGCGAGACGCAATTGCTCACGAAAACGATGAGGAGAATGTGATTGGCGCTATCAACCAAGATTCTTTAGAACAACAGGGGAGCTGTTAATTTCTCTTCGCCGAGTTTTGAATAGTCTCTCTCTCTCTCTCTCTGTGTGTGTGTGTGTGTGTGTGTGTGCATTAGACGCACCAGTTCCACCATAAAAAACTTCCTTTGTACTTCTCAGGAAACACATTGTGGGTTTTTTTTTTTGCACTGAGCCAGTTCCAAACGAAAACGGGAAGTCAGCACTATTATTTGGCTGCAATTCTTCTTCTAATAAAAATAATAATAATAATAATAATAATAACTCAGTGTTTTGAATCTAAATGATAAACCTGTCTGTAGCTACCAGGAAAATACCCCCCAGATCTGAGGTGAAATCCAGCAGGTTCTGACAGGTTCTAGAGAACCGGTAGCGGAAATTTTGAGCAATTCGGAGAACCGGCAAATGCCACCTCTGGCTGGCCCCAGAGTGGGGAGGGAATGGGGATTTTGCAGTATCCTTCTCCTGGAGTGGGGAGGGAATGGGGATTTTGCAGTATCCTTCCCCTGCCATGCCCACAGAACCGGTACTAAACAAATTTGGATTTCACCACTGTTTCCAGCCATTATTTCTTGTCCTGCTCTCTGGTGCTTTGGAGAATAATTTGACCCCCACTCTTCTTTGTGGCAGCCCCTCAAATATTGGAATCATGCGATCATGTCATCCCTAATTCTTCTTTTCTCTAAACTAGCCAGACCCAAAACCTGCAGCCATTCTTCATATGGTTTAGTCTCCAGGCCTTTGATCACCTTAGTTGCTCTTCTCTGAACCTTTTTCCAAAGTCTCAACATCTTTTAAGTAGTAGGGTGACCAAAATTGGTTGCAGGATTCCAGGTGTGGTTTTGTAAAGCGGCACTAATACTTCGTAATAATATTGGATAGCCTATAGGTTTGATATCCATGTTTGTGAGGAGCCCTGCACAAGATTTTGTCAGGGCTAGAAAAAGCAGGAGACCATCTGGTCCTTCCTTAGGCGTGAAAGCTGGCTGGGTGAGTTTGGACCGATCACCAAGAGCCTGGGAGTTCTAGTCCCACTTTACGCATGAGAGCCGGCTGGGGAAGTTTGGGCCAATCACCAGGAGAACAGTGAGTTCGAGTCCTGCCTTAGGAAGGAAAGCCGGCTGGGTGACTTTGGGGCAGTCCCTCTCTCTCAGCCCAACCCGCCTCACAGGGCTCTTGTTGTGGGGAAAAGAGGAGAAAGGAGTATACGCACGTTCACTGCCTTGAGTTATTTGTAAAAGTAATAAAAGTGAGAGAGAGAGAGAGAGAAAGATATGAGAGAAAGAGAGTAGATGACAGATTAGATAGAGAGATAGAGAGAGTAGATGATAGATAGATGGATGGATGGATGGATGAATTGAAGGAAGGAAGGAAGGAAGAAGAGGAAGGAAGGAAAGCAGAGGGGAAAGGAAGAGAGGGGAGGGAAAGAAGGGGAGGAAAGGAAGGGGAGGGAAGGAAGAAGACGAGGAAGGAAGGAAAGTAGAGGGGAAAGGAGGAGAGGGGAGGGAAAGGAAGGGAAGGGAAGGAAGAAGAGGGAGGGAGGGAGGAAAGCAAAGGAGGGGAGGGGAGGGAAGGAAGAAGAGGGAGGGAGGAAGGGAAGAAAGCAAAAAGGAGGAGAGGGGAAGGGAGGGAAGGGAAGGAAGAAGAAGAAGGAAGGAAGGAAGGAAAGCAGAGGGGAAAGGAGGAGAGGGGAGGGAAGGGAAGGGAAGGAAGAAGAGGGAGGGAGGAGGAAAGCAAAGGAGGAGAGGGGAGGGGAGGGGAGGGAAGGAAGAAGAAGAAGGAAGAAGGAAGAGGAAGGGAGGGAGGGAGGAAGAGAGGAAGGAAGGAAAGCAGATGGGAAAGGAGGAGAGGGGAGGGGAGGAAGAATAAGAAGGAAGAAGAGGAAGGAAGGAAGAAGAGGAAGGGAGGGAGCAGAGAGGAAAGGAGGGGAGCGGAGGAAGAAGAGGGGAGGAAGGAAGGAAGGAAGGAAGGAAGGAAGGAAGGAAGGAAGGAAGGAAGGAAGGAAGAAGCCATACAACTTCAAAAGGTTGCAAGATTAATCCACATGTTCCTTCAGATCTCCCTCGTAGTCACCTCTGAGTTTATTGCTCTAGCCTGGTATTAATCATTTTCCCCCTTTCATTATAAATCATGTGCAAGGAGCATTGATGTGCCAGCAGCATTAATAAACAGGGGGATGCAGGGGACA